TTATGATACTTAGCCACATCCATAATAAAGAACTCATTCCTGAAAGCAGCAGAGCTAATTACATTTTATTGTTTAAGGGTGCAATGTTAGTTTCCTCTGTGAATTTATGTAAATGGACCTATGTTCATATTGAAGCTACGTAAATGTTGTTAACATTTGCTGTATATGTAGTCTGGCAAAATAACGTAGCTTAATTTTGACAAATGCCAAATCAACATTCCAAAATGAATACTAAAATGAAAATGTTTCACTGGTGTTTCTAATGTCCAGAGATTCCCAAATGTATTCCTGGTGTGGTTTTCATGGTATTATTAGTTCAGGGTGAAGTTCTTCCCCTCTACTCTGCCCTGGTGAGACCCCATCTGGAATATTGTGTCCAGTTCTGGGCCCCTCAGTTCAAGAAGGACAGGGAGCTGCTGGAGAGAGTCCAGCGCAGGGCAACTAAGATGATTAAGGGAGTGGAGCATCTCCCTTATGAGGAAAGACTGAGGGAGCTGGGTCTCTATAGTTTGGAGGAGACTGAGGGGTGACCTTATAAGTGTCTATAAATATATAAAGGGGGAGTGTCACGAGGATGGAGCCAGGCGCTACTCAGTGGCAAACAATGATAGGACAAGGGGTAATGGGTACAAACTGGAACACAAGAGGTTCCACTTAAACTTGAGAAGGAACTTCTTCTCAGTGAGGGTGACAGAACACTGGAACAGGCTGCCCAGGGAGGTTGTGGAGTCTCCTTCCCTGGAGACATTCAAAGCCCACTTGGACACATTCCTGTGTAACATTATCTAGGTGTTCCTGCTCCGGCAGGGGGATTGGACTAGATGATCTTTTGAGGTCCCTTCCAATCTCTAGCATACTGTGTGATACTGTGAAGTTCGGTTATTCAATGGGTATTTTTCTTTTCAGTCATGTCCTATGACTTCCTCTTCAAGAACTTTTTTCCCTTCGACCACCCCCATCCCAAAATACCTTTACTTAAAAATTCAGTTATGTCTTAATGTTGGAGAGAGGACTTTGAAAGTCATATTCATATATTTAGGAACTTTGCCCTTCAGTGACAGTAGGTATGTCCTCAAATATTTGTACACTCTGTAGTATTTGGCATATGTTTGTGAACTGTGTTTGCAGTTGAGTATCCTTGGTGAACAGAGATATATCTTTTGAGTAGTGTTTTATAAAAGGCTTATAAACATGAAGTCAGAAATAACATTTCAGTGCTTCGTCTTATTTAATACAACTGAAATGTTAAAACATATGTTACTTTCCTTAAGTGTTTTGGATTGCTTTGATCAGAAAGAATCTGATAGCACACTATGAAGAGTGTGGTTGTACTGTTTCTGGAAGATTTCTTTTTCCTTTGAAGCTGCATTTGCTCATGAGAACGGAAGGTGGTTTTGGTTTTGTTTGTTTCTTTTAACAACAGACAAGCATAGTCAAATATTCCTAAATATTTGATTAATCAAACAATTCTAATTCAAAACTAATATTCATTTAAATTAATTAGAATATTGAATACATTCAGCACCCTTTTTAGGGGAGCACAGTATCTACTGGACTTCTGTGTCAGTATGCGTTATTCATAATTTTCCTTAAATTTGCCAATTTAGAAGAAGATATGTAAATAGAATTTATGGTGTCAAGCTTGACCTTTCTCTTCTGCAGCATAATCTGAAAGTATCTTTTAATCAAAGTAATGTGTGTTTTTTCAAAGTCATTTCCTGGTTTTGATATCAGTTACATAGTTAAAGAAGAAATTAAAAACTGGTAAAATAACAGAGAAATCCAGTTATTTCTTTAGATCATTTTAGACCTGGTTATGGTAACTGAGGCATTTCTTTGAGAAAACACAAAGACTGAAAAAGCTAGATTTTGATTAAAATATGTGTGTCTCTCATGCTGAACTGGACATTGAATACAGCCGCACAGAACTGCAGTTGGGAATGAGATGTGAGCATGAAGTATTGTAGTTCATTCTAAAGTGCCTGACTAAAATCTTAAAACTAAACATGCAAGCAGTTTTCTATATCTGAGCTGCTTATACTGATCTCTTCTAAAAGTGTTAGTAATTATCAATGTCCATAAAGTTCCATTACTTTAATTAGATAAAGCTACCTGGTTAAAACTATGTGTGCATTAACTCTTCCTTGCACTGATTTTGCTGAAGTCAGGCTCTAGTCACAAGTTTTCTTCCAAGGCATTTAGGCATTTAAGGTTAATGTCAAATGTTTTAGTAGTACAGCTGGGAAAAAAATAAAAGCCAGGTATGGAGGAAGATTCATCCTAGAGGGTCTGCTAATTCTGTAATGTTCTCATGCTATAGCATCGTCTTCATTTTGTCTGATTATTCTATGGCAGCACACACGAGTCTTTGCAGTAAGGTGGTCTGTGGGTCTCACAGGTCCCTGAATGAACTCACACTGGCTAGGTCTCAGCCTGGATAAGCACAGAAGACTTTTCCTTCATAGAGTTGAGACTCAAATAGAAATAAAGTATATTAAGAATAGAGCTCTCATCTAGGTGTAGAAGACAGATAGATGTGAATATGTGTGTGTGTGTGTGTGTGTGTGTGTGTGTGTGTGTGTGTGTGAAAAGTCCTTGAAGATGGCTGCTGTTTTGTGATAACAAAACCCAGCAGGTTTTCTTTTCCTGTTGAAGTAACATAAGAGAAATAGGATTCTTAAGTGTTTGGTGGTGGTACGCTGAAATACTGAATTAAATGTCATTCTCATATCTGTGGAGCAGAAGACACATTCTTATGGGTAATACCACTATTTGTGTATTTGCTTATAGCAGTCTTCTGACATATCTGCAGTGGAATTTCTCTATCACTGGTTTTGCCTGGAGAGTTGGCCTGATAAATTTTAAATGTCTAAAACTCATGTCAGCTGTCAGTGAAAATCTTCAGTACCTCTTAACTGCAAGGTTTTTGATTGGTGTTTGGTTCACACCCTCCACTTGAAAAGACCATTCTTTCCTTTTCTCAGAAAGATTTTTTGACCCTGGTCAAAAAATGTTCTGTTGTAGGAAAATTTGAGAGCATAATAAATCCTGGGGTATGTAGGATATCCTCCATCTAACTTTTATGACACCTACTGTATTCAAGGGTAATCTTCTTTTGTATGTTCTTCTCTAATGCTTGTGTGAATAAGCCTATAAAAAAAAAGAGATTTCCTGTGCTACATCAACCCAGAGATTTGACATATGTAAATTACCACCCATAAGGATATCTGGTCATGATTTCCCTGTAGAAATAAATGAAGCAAGGCACTGCCTTTAATTATAGTTGCAATTTCTTTTTGATTCTGTTAACTCCTTTAGCTGTGGTCTTCTGTTAATTATGTCCTTTCTTCCATCTCAGTATAATTTTAGACCTATCAAACTGTTGGTTAATTGAGTCAGTTTTTGAATTTGTTACTTCTAAATTATGTACTGTCATACACAGTGTTTTCTTGTCTAATCCAAATGACTTTGTTAGGCTTTTTTCTTGAGCTGGACCAAGAAATATGGGTTAGTGATAGCAACATTCCTTAGACACTGTTAAACTTACACATATGTTTGGATGTTGTTCTTGGTATGTATGATGGACTTTTGAGTCAATTTGATAATGAAATTTTGCAGCCTCAAATTCTCCAATAATAATTCTGGTAAATAGCAAGGCAAACTTAACTTTGAACATAAGGAATCTCTATAAAATCTGAAAAAAACCTTTTTGTTCTTTCCTGAGAGTTTGTCTGTAGGTATGCGTTCTCTAATGCTGCATTCTTGACTGCTGCACCATTTCGGAAAGCTCTGTACGTGGATTTCTATTCTGGCAATGCACAGCCATGCGCTCATTAAAATGGAAATAGAGAGTTTCTGTGACTGTTGTACTCTGAGGATGGCAGCTAATGTGAAGGCCCAGGGGAGAGGGATTAGCTGAGGACAGGTTGGAGGAGAAACTGACCTGCAGGCGAGCATCCTGTGAATGCATTTGTTTGAGCTGAAGTGCTTACTGTGATCAAGTGCTGCTGCACCTTAGCTCTCTGCTAGAAGTTACTTCCCCCTGAGGTCTGCTAGGTGAGCCTTTTGTAGGACTGTTATTTAACCATCCTGTTCACAGTTAGTGTTATAGTCTTCTGTTAGCCCTTCTCATTTAACTCAAGTCAAGAAATGTTCAGCCATGAAGATAAATCAATAAATCTGAAGGGAATTGACAAGCAGTTCTCAGTGGTCTGAGTGAAATAACCCGTCTAGTAAGCACAGTGGGAAACAGCAGATGTATTGGACAAGTAATGATCTAATGTTTTACCACTGTTCAGTAGCAACTTCTGACTCTTTGGCTGTATCTGTGTTGTAAAAACTACATTATCAATGTCCTGAATATATTGGTGTTTGTTCAATAATGAAAAATTAGTTGAAATATCTGGACAATTTACCACTATGGAAGAACAATGCAACAGTAAAAAAACAATTATTGTCTTCTTGTAAGGAAGAAAAAGGTAGGATAGGAGGATAAAGCATCTCTGAAAAGAAGGAAGTGATAGAAGAAACCAATGTTGTTTTTTTTTTTCCAAAAATACCAAAACCCTCACCAAGATACCCAGTAGGTAAGCCATGATCAGTTAACCTTTAACAAGATACCAGTGCGTTTCTTGCATCTTGGGAGGTAGTTTGGGGTTTTTTGCATCTGTAGGGCACAAAATGATGACTAAATACATCCTTGCAGAATTTATTATCTGTATTAATCTGAAGCCTGTAAAAATCAATAATGTATCTTTGCTTTATAAGGGAAGTCTGTGTCAATTGTAGTGTTGATAGTGGGGAAGAAATTATTCTGAATGGATTAAAAACTGATTTAAAGTGAAGATTGCATTAAGGAAAGACTAATAAGAATTGAATAGCTATTTGGATTTATGTAGTTTTGCTAAGATTGGGGGAACCAGTTTCCTCCAACTGGAGGAACCAATTTCATAAACCCTTGCCTTTTTTTTTCCTAATTCTTGTTATTTTGTGACTTTCAGAAATCGTGCCAGAAACCAGTGGACAAATACATTGAGTATGATCCTGTTATCATCTTGATTAATGCTGTTTTATGTAAAGCACAAGCATACAGACACATTCTTTTCAATACGAAGATAAATGTAAGTTGCTATGCCCCCACCCTGTGACTTTTTTTGTTAAAGATGTATTTACATTTGGCAAGTTGATTGTAATAGTTGTAAAATTTTAGATTCTGTTATGCTCTTGCCCTTCCACTGGTTCCAGCAAGCTGAACCAGTTATATCATGAATAGAACACATGAAATCTCAAACTCCAGTTGGTGAAAGTTACTGTCTCCACAGTTGTGATGCTGCAATACTAGCAAATACAGCAGTCTATTTACATGTAAAGGGAAGAGAAGGAACTGTATGGAACTGCTCCTGCAGTCTAATTTGCCTGTCATGTTAATTGATGTTACAAGGACGATGTGCTAAATTGCATTGGAAGGGAAAGATCTAATTTCAAATTAATTTCCAAACTAAATTTCTGTTGGAAACAATTCTTGCTGAAATGAGCTATAGTAGCATAACATACCGTATTACTAATACTATGTTACTTTAACCTACTGTACCAATTCCTTATCATATAACCATGCCCTTGAAACTATAGCAAAAGATAGAGGCTTTCACATGAAGTGTTGATGCAGAGTTACATAGTTAGTTGTGCTGGTCAGGCTGGAGTGTAGAAGTATAGCTTTTCTGACAGAATCGTGTGTATTTTTCCCTTAAGGATTAATTTCCCTGGAGAGGGAAGCTTGTCTAGAACAAACTATCCAAGAATAAGTGTATGCTGTGTTCACACTGATACCTCTTGTCCAGTCCAGTGTTTAACAATGTAGATAAATATTCTCACTTCATCTTTCATGCATAAATCTGACAAAGATTTTTACTTAAGCAGTGCTTTTGGAGACTGGTCATGATGTTTTCTGTGAGGCTTCTGAAAGACCTGTTACATCTGTGGAAATTTCAGCTATTCAACTAAATTGAGTTGAATTGAGTTATGCCTAATTGGCATAACTAGTCTGTAATGGAAAAAGTAGAATCTACACACAGAAATTACACTGGTTTATTTAAATCTGTATAAAACCAGAATTAACTGCACATAGACTTACAGGCTTGTTTGATATGGAAACATGGTAACTATGAGCCCTCATGATAATATTTTTACAGTCACTTCAGAGGATATTTTTAAGTTTTGCTTGGTTATATTGCTCCATATATTTTTGGTCCCTCACCCTTAACGGAACTAAGAAATATTTTTAGTATAACTAGACTACTAGTTTTTTCCTAAGGAGATTGTTCCAGGGAAAAAAAGAAACAAGGCTATTTAAGTCAGTTCACTGAATGAAGTAGTGTCCTTAACCTTTAATTTTTGCTAGTGTGATTCTACTAATACTGATAATTTTGATACTATAATTCTATAATTTTACAGAACAACTTCAGTTTTATATTCCTAACTGAAACAGCCTTCACAATTTTAAAAAGAGTATAAAGCAAGCTTTAGAAATGCCATTCGTGCCTTCTTCTGTATGGAACTGCTCATGCAGTTTTCTACACCCTCTAATTTGCCTATCATGTGAACTGATGTTAAAAGGGTGATATGCTGAACTAGTGGTTCAACAGAAGTAATTTGCTATTATTTCTAAACAAAGATAATAAAGCTACAGAGCTTGTTTGTGTAGAGGTGTTGAAACATATTTTAAATACCAGTTTCATACTGATGCTTTAGTTTGTACTGATTTAATACTGATGTTTTTATTATTCTTTCCTTTACCAGATTCATGGGAAGCTCTGCGTATTTTGTTTGCTCTGTGAAGCTTATCTCAGGTGGTTGCAACTACAGGATTCAAGCCAAAATACAGATCCTGATGACTTAATCAGATATGCCAAGGAATGGGATTTTTATAGAATGTTTGGTATAGCTTCTTTAGGTAAGGTCAGTTATTAGTTCATGTCACTATCTACTCCTAAAGCATTGAATAACTTCATGAGTTTTTCAACAAGCTTGTATTGCAAAAAATTAACACAGAATGGATGTTATATCCAACCCAGTATGGTTAAACCATTATACACATACTCTCTAATTTGTCTCCATTTAATGCAGATGCATGTTTTGATCCTGATTACAGTTCAGACAGGTACAATCGGCATTAGGTATTAAAACACTGAAAAGTGGCAATCTTAAGAAATCTTTGTCTCAATCCATTTACATAGTTTGAAGACCAGTGTAACGCTCAGCTTAATTCCATATTTCATGGTGAATCCAAGGTTTATTCATTAAGGTGATGCAACAATAGGATGATCCTTACAGAAGTAAATAATTGGGAAAAGCTGTATCTATTGTTTGGGGGTTTTTAAATGAATACACAAAATACAGAGTAGAATAAATACTTCTATGCTTTAAGACTCCATTGAAGGCAGGGAACAGGTGTTCTTTTATTTTGGTTAATACTTTATTTTAATACTTTTTCTGTTAATAGTTTTTAAATCAAGGTCACAGACTAAAATCTGTATTACCCTTAGACATTCAGAGTTTAACTTGTCGTGTGTCATCTCATGTTGCTCTAAGTAGGTTTTCATAACACATCAGTAAAAATTTTGGAACTCATTTCTCAGTAGTAATTCATCTACTACAGTTGTCATGAGAGTTGCTTTGACATCTGCATTAATTCTAGTGTTACACAGGGACACAGTGGTAAAAAAAGTCTAATAGCTCAGTAATATTTTCACCTTAGTCTTCTTATGCTGGATGGAAAGAGTTCATTGCTGGTGACCTTTTCAAAGATGACAAGTACTGATTATGTTTTATAGGCTAAGAGACAGTTGAAAAAGACCCCTCTCCTTTTGTTAAAAATGAAAAATAATTGTAAACTTCCTGGGTAGTATGGTGTCAGAAATTGAGTATGACAGTCCTGTTATGAATATCATGAATTATTCTGAATGTCATTATGCAAAATTAGTTTAAATAAGTAATACTCCCATATTAAAGTGAACACAGGAGATGGAAGACGTTCATATTTGCATATGTCTTTTAAATAGCAGTGGCTAAGTTGCATTTGGGACACATTGTTTCACTGAAATTCATCTAAGAAAGGACTTGATTTTGGTGCTTCATTCTCTCTTTCCAACTCCTCTTATTTCCTCTTAGAACAAACTTCATTTTTGGTTGGCATTTTTATTTCCTTATGGTGGATGAGACCTGAGATGCTGAAAACGAAGTCTGATTTCATTTTACTTCTCAAAGCACTGCTGCTGTCCAGCTATGGAAAGCTTTTGCTAATTCCAGCTGTTATTTGGGAACATGACTACACACCTTTGTGCCTTGCATTTATAAAAGTGTTTGTCTTGATATCAAACTCTCAGGCAATTAGAGGTATGTTTTTGCTTTCTTATTACTACATTATTTGTATAGAATGTGAGAATTTGCAGCTGTTACAGAAATTCTTGTTATATTTTTAATCAGTATCAGAAATGTGACTGAAATAGTTCTAGCTTAAAACTGTTTTGTAGACTTTAATTGAAAGGGAATGAAACAAAATACTTTATTAAAATAATAAAAATCACCTCATCTCACCATCATCTCTTTGTATATGCTGTATTATATCCATCAGATCCATCAGTCAGAATTTGAAACAACTCATCATGGATCATTGAAACATAAAATAGAATTTGTTGTGTGTTTGGAAAATGAAAATTTCATGTTATTTTTATGCATGGCTTTGGAATGCAGACTTTTAACGTATTTGTGTGATTTCTTATACATACAAATTAATGTGAAATCTCACATGTTTACATTATTGTCTTCAATGGTAAGTTATATATTTGTTCTGGTTTCTTTTGCAGTTACATTGAACTTGAACCGAATTCTCCCTTGGTTAGCTATCTTCTTTGGATTAATTCTTGAAAATGGTGTTGTCTGCTTGGTCCAGAAATTGAGGTGGGATGTTTGAAACATCAGCCCAGATCTGAAGAATTACCAACAACACGATAATCATTTTCTAAGAATGATCTCTGCCAACAGGCTTCAAAGACGCTTTTCATCATTATAAAGAAGGTGACAGATAACAAAAACTTGTGTTAGTGGTAAGTGTAGACAGTTTTAGGATGAGTCAAACTGGGAAACCTCGGAAGTTCGGCTATATAATGTGGTGAGCCATAAAACTTCATAGAATCACAGAATGGTTAGCGTTGGAAAGGACCTTAAGATCATCCAGTTCCAACGCCCCTGCCATGGGTGTGGACGCCTCACCCTCAACCATGTCACCCAAGCCCTCTGTCCAGCCTGGCCTTGAACACTGCCACGGATGGGGCATTTACGACTTCTCTGGGCAACCTGTTCCAGTGCCTCACCACCCTAACAGGAAAGAATTTCCTCCTTATATCCAATCTAAACTTCCCCTGTTGAAGTTTAAACCCATTATCCCTTGTGCTATCACTACAGTCCCTAATGAAGAGTCCCTCTCCGTTATCCTTATAGGCCCCCTTCAAATACTGGAAGGCTGCTATGAGGTCTCCACGCAGCCTTCTCTTCTCCAGGCTGAACAGCCCCAACTTTCTCAACCCATCTTCATACAGGAGGTGCTCCAGCCCCCTGATCATCCTCGTGGCCTTCCTCTGGACTTGCTCCAAAAGCTCCATGTTGAGAATATCAGAACTGCACACAGTACTCGAGTGAGGTCTCATGATGGCAGAGTAGAGGGGCAGGATCACCTCCTTTGACGTCATGGTCACGCTCCTTTTGATGCAGCCCAGGATATGGTTGGCTTTCTGGGCTGTGAGCTCACACTGCCAGCTCATGTTAAGTTTCTCATCAACCAGCACCCCCAAGTCCTTCACAGGGCTGCTCTGAATCATTTCTCCAATCAACCTGTGTCTGTGCATGGGATTGCCCCGACACAGCTTGGTGTCATCAGCAAATTTGCTGAGGGTGTACTCAATCCCATTGTCCATGTCACCGACAAGCCTTAGCTTGTTTATTTTCTCATTAAAACATATGAATACATCACTATCCTACCAGCTTTATGAATCTGGCCACATAGCTATGGCTGTCACAAAAAAAGGTACACTAAAAAAAATGAGCACTGCTACCAATCACTACATTTTGGCAGAAAGAGGAGGATGAATTGTTCCCTTAAGAGGAAGGAAGAGAGTCAGTGAGAAAAATGTAAAAGCCCAAACTTGTATTTCCGCAGAAACAGATCTTTCAAAGAGAGAAGTAAATGTGTGCAAACAGGTCATTAGAGAAAAGGCAAGTATTGCAGAGTAAAGCTACAGTGGGAAAACTACATTGCATTCTCTGCCATGTTTATATAATAATCCAAAATAATAAAATAACTAGTTCTAGAGTAATCTGTAGGAAATATAGTTTTAACTGGCTTGAAATTTTATGTGATCTCATAAATGCTTCTACTGTGTTCATGAAGCTGAAAAGAGTGAAAGGACTCTGATCCCTGGCGTTCATAGTTGTTTGGGATATTACATCTAGTATCAAGCCACATCACCTGCACCCAGCCCTCATGTGGCAGCAGTTTTAGTGGAGGCAAAAAATGAAGTATGAGGCTGCTCAGCAATAGAGTAGTACTTGCTAAACAAACAAACTAGCCACCTAATTCAGGTGTTTAGGCCTGAATTAGTGAAGAAACACTTACTGAAGTTCTGCACCTTTTTACCCAGCAGCCAAAGAAAGGGCACAAACCTTTCGTGCACACCGGTTTCCCTTATGTACCATCCAGTGTTTAATTTTCCTGCTTCATTTCTGGTAGTCTGTACTGTCTATAGGTAGTACTTCATTCTTCATTTTCCTCAGATGCAGTCTCTACCTCTGTTTTGCAAAATGCATCAAATAATGTTTTGCAACATCTTCAAGTTAATTCCTAACAGGTTTAAAGTCTGGGTTTTGAGCACAGAAGGCATTAGGCATGTGTATGTGATGCAACTGCCCATGCCATAGTAAGTTACTTGGTCAGAAAAGCAAACAGTTTTAATAGGTCAGAGGATGACACCACTCCTGTGCCATTTGTGTTACACTTCACACCTTTCTGATCATGTAGAGAAGTTAAAAAAAAAAACCAACAAACTGCAAACCCTTTACACCCATGAGACAGTTGAACACTGCAATTGCTCCAGCAAGCACATAGTTTTGAAGGCTTATGATGGATCCACCTTGCTACTGGTGTGAATCAGTGGCCAGAGAATTCAGCATCGATGTGTAGTTGACTCACTGGCTGAGCAGCAGCTTTGGCAACATGGTACCTAGACCATGCTTTCCTTTACATAAGGCGATACTCCTCCCCAAAAAGCTTTTCTAAAAATGGCATGTTGCCAAAGGTGCTCTGAGTAGTGCGCATCTTCCTCCCACAACGCCAGCACACAGCATTGCAAAAGAGGCTGCAGGTGGAGAAGATGCAAAGGCAAAGAGCAGTAGATCTTTCAGAAGAGCTTCAGGAATGTTGGTATGGCCTACTTTCATTTTCCTCCTGCACCTTCTGTCTTGAGTTTAAGAGGGAAGCCCATGCTGGAGCAGGCTCCTGGCAGGACCTGTTGCCCTGTGGAAAGAGGAGCCCATGCTGGAGCAGGTTTGCTGGCAGGCCTGTGACCCTGTGGCAGACGCATGCTGGAGCAGTTTGTTCCTGAAGAACTGCACCCTATGAAAGGGACCCACACTGGAGTTTCTGAAGAACTGCAGCCTATGGAGAAGTTTGTGGAGAACTGTCCCCCATGGGAAGGACTACACACTGGAGCAGGAGAAGGGTGTGAGGAGTTCTCCCTGAGGAGGAAACAGCAGCAGAGACGTGTGATGAATTGAACACAACCCCCATTCCCGTCCCCCTGTGCTGCTGGGGTGGGGAAGGAGGTAGAGAACCCAGGAGTACAGTCAAGCCTAGATAGATGGGAAGGGTGGGAGGGAAGTGTTCTTAAGATTTGGTTTTATTTCTCATTGTTCTACACTGACTTGATTGGTAATAAATTGATTTCCTTGATTCAAGTCTGTTTTGCCCATGACAGTAGCTGGTGAGTGTCTATCCCTTTCCTTATCTCAACTCACAAGTGTTTTGTTCTGTTTTGTCTCCCCTGTCCAGCTGAGGAGGGGAATCATAGAGCATGTGGGAACATGGCATCCAGCCAGGATCAACCCCACCACAACTTTGTACGTCCCTCTTCAGAAAATACACATCCTTTCTATTGCCAATTCTGGTTTTCTGATGATTTACCAACAGTGCCTTAGTTTGTTCCTTTTAGGTTAGATTCTTTTTTCTTATTAATATGTCATGGTTATACACAAAAGACTATTTTTCCCTGAATTTTTCCCTTGTCTGCTCTGGCACTGGTTTCAGTCTAAAGGCTGAGTGGAGCGCATTAAGTATGACTAATGCAAGGGAAAGATTTTGCATTACATGTAAGTATTACCTAGTCAGCATCAAAATTGTAAATGCAATATATATAAATTTTGTTTGGAGATAGCTTTCTTAAAGTTTATTTTGAATTTAAAAGAAATTATTTCAGGACATTTTGTGAGTTTTATTCAGAAGACCTGTAATGGACATGAATACATTCCGAGAGATGAAGTGCTTATCTGTTGTGTCACATATGCCAGTAACACATTAGTTATGCACTCTGTAATGCTATCAGGCGCTACCACTGTCCTTATGCAATTTTGAGGATGGAGGAGAAAATTAATAGCTAGAGAGCTGTGAAATGAAAACTGGTGGTATACAGGTTTTCAGTCTTCAGAGGCATCATTTTCTGGTGATGTAGGACATTCTGCCTTGTGTGGTTTTAGGGCTACTTATTTACCAGAACTAACATGACAAATACATTAAAATGTGATAAATCTTGGGGGAACTCAAGAATGCCTCTGTGGGGGGGGGGAAGGTTTGTGTGCATTTTTGATGCCTTTGGAAAAGTGTTCCATATGGTGCTTCGGAGAGAACCGAGACTATTTTAAGGTACTGCCTTTTTAAAACAGTCATCTTTCTCTCGCTTTTATTTCTTTTTATATTTCCAGCTCCTCCTCTTTCATAAACTCTTTGTAATGACATAAGTCATCTGTGATGGAAGATATATGACAAATAGCCTGCCCCATATATATATATATATATGTTCAGTTGCTTCATTAAGGAGATTATTTACTTGGGTTAAAAATATAACAGCCTGCAAATGAACCCATGTAAACTCTTTTGAGATTTGCTTGGAATCAAAGGGGGTATCATGACCTATAGGAGATTTGTGAGCCTATGGGGCAAATTCCAGACTTCTGTCGGATTAAACGCATGGAAGATGTCATTCAGACTTGGGTTGAGTAGCAGTTTAGCATTTGCACAGTGGGAGCTGGGAGTTTTAAGTGGGTCCATAGGGAAGATCCCAAATACGTAGAAATTACACAAAATTGGATAATTAGAATATAAGATAGGAGTGAGCGTAAAAGAGAATATAGGTGTCGGGCAGACTTCCACAGAGTTAAGAGTTGAGAAGACTGAAAACTAAGGGAATAGAGAAAATATGTAAGTCATGAGTATGAGTGAATGAATGTTCTATTCCTAAGTCCTACTCCTAAGTTTTCAAAGGATGAGCATGAAGAAGTAGACAATTCTGTAACTGTCTAAGTGATAACATTAAATGGCAAAGGATGTCTTCCAAACAGTAAAGTCTATGGGTTTCCCTAGAAGAGTTGCTGATAAACTCATGACTTCAATGTTTTGCACCTCATCCTTGAAAATACACTTTTATAAGCAACTGCAGAGATAAGTCAGTGTGAATAGGCAGAGCTGTGCAACAGTAGAGCTTCAAGCTGCATTCAGCAGTAGTGTGCGTTGCATTGGGTTTTGTTGATGGAGCCAAGGGCTGCCACCCTCGTGACCTTGTGCACGTACAGACAAGCAAGTCCTTTCTTCCATGACAAGTTGCATCTCAGGCATATAAACCACCATTTGTTAGCCCAGTCTTCTCTGAACTGACAGTAAAATAGGACATCTGCACTGGAAAACCATTAGCAGCTGATTTCTCGTAAAACAAGAAAGCTGTTGTTTTTCAGGAGCTCACGTGCTTTTGCACTCCATCAGCTCTCCCCCAGCTGGGTAGTGGTAAGCACCACAGTGCCATCTGGAGATGGAAAAGGAAGCACTGTTTCCGAAACTGGAAGGAATATAAAAGCACTGTAAATACGTATTCTTTGATTAATTTCTGTTTTGCAAAATTCAGGCTTTTAAAACCTAACACTCATTTTCAGTTTGGAAACCCGCTAGAGTGAAGTTAGTGATGAAAACCA